AGGCCTGTATTTTTATATGTTTAAGAAAACACCCAACACGAACTTCCAACTAGGTGCTTTTTACAAATCAATTTGAATGAATGTGAATGTGATATGGTATCAGTTTCTTGAAGTTATACGAAACGCAACGAAATAGACAACACACTATGACATTCAACGACAACTATATTTAATTTCGATGTTTCATTTTCCCCCCAAAACTACATCACATTCATAGTTGATATTTGAGTATAAATGCAACGATTTATTCTCATTTAGCTTACACATCAGTAAAACAGAAATCATAAATAAAGTCATTCTTGTAGTGGGCTCTTAGTTGCGTTGATATTTTTTAACGTGCTGAATCAGGGGTGGTGCCAGTATTTTCACAAGTGGGTTCGATATCCACGACGGAGGACCAAAATCTCCGACGATAGCGTAAGTGACTTCTAAATAGTAACACTATGTTTTCTGCAATGTAAGTATTATTATTTCCGTGAGAAAAACCACATTGGGTTTCAATGATAATTTACGAAACATCTTGTTTCTTTTTTCTCTATTTAAAAAAAAATATTTTATAATATCGTAGAAAACTCATCTAAAATTGGAAAAACGTAGTTGGAAATCCTCACTGTTAATGGCATAAACATGCCTTAATAATTAATAAGCCACCGTTTATTTAAAAGAGGTACTATTCAATCATTTACGGTAAGCAACATAAAAATAGATTATATATTAAACACCGATAAAACAATGATAATACTATATAAACTGTAGACTTATCTCGAGTGCGTATAAGTAAAACCTGTTTCTCGTGTTGGCTTGTCCGCATAATAGCCACGTAAAAATGACCCACTCTCCTCACAATCGTTTGACTGGCCAAGGTTATGCACAGAGAAAACAAATTTAAACAGGATAAAATATATCAGGTGGATCTTAAACCTGTTTTACACGGTCCTGTTAAACGTTAAAATTGCAGGAACTTAAACTACAATATAAATATGTTATATCATTAAACGTCAAAACAAAACAATTATATATAAACCACACTTATCTCGAGTACGTATAAGTACAACCTGTTTCTCGTATTGGCTTATAGTCCGCATGATGGCCTCGTAAACATGACCCACTCTCCTCACAGTCGTTAGACTGGCCAAGGTTATTCAGTCAACAAGTAGGCCTACCTACCTTTTTTCAACTTTCAAACAACAATTTAAACAGTATAAAACATATCAGGTAGATCTTAAACCTGTTTTACATGGTCCTGTTAAACGTTCAACTTACATAAACTTAAACTACAATGATTATAAATAGATTATATATAAAACGTCGACAAAACAATGATATAAACCGTACACCTATCTCGAGTGCCTATTAAAGTATAAAACCTCTCGTTTTGGCTTTGTCTGCGATGGCTACGCAGAAATGACCCCACTTTCCTTACAGTCGATGCACTCATATTATTTTTTTTTTCCGAAGAAATTTAAACTGGATAACACATCAAGTATTTTAAAACCTATTTTCATGGTGGGGGGGGGGGCCCTCTTATAAGATGAATGGGAATATGAATCATGCAGATCTGGAAAAACCTAAGGGATGGGGGTCAATATTTTTCCCAAAAAAGAAAGGGGATCCGGGGGCCCTTCCCCGGGAAAATTTTGATTTCTAGATGGCGGGAAATGACCTTTCTCGATTTTTAAGCTAGGTTTCTATAGATGACTTTGTTCTTAAAAATTCAAGGTTTCTAAAGAATAGGGGGGTTGGGGGTCCTCCCCCGGGAAAATTTTGATATCTAGAAGGCGGGAAATGAGTTTTCCCGACTTCCGAGGTGTCTTTTAATTACTTTTAAGTTCTTCAAAATTCAAGGTTTTCCCCTCTTGAAAACCGTCAGGTAAATTTATCCCTGTTATTACAGTAGATAGGCCTTATGTGTGTATACATACATAAAAAAATTGAGTAGGCCTAATTGCATACGATTTTTTTCCATTAATCCATAAATCCCAAAAAGAAAGGGGGGTCCAGGGGTTCTCCCCCGTAAATATTTTGATTCCTAGAAGGCGGGAAATGAGTTTTCCCGACTTCTGAGGTGTCTTGTAAGTTCTTTAAAATTCAAGGTTTTCTCCTCTTGAAAACAGTCAGGTAAATTTATCGCATTGTTATTACAGTAGATAGGCCTTATGTGTACAGTATATACATACATAAAAAAGAAATGAGTAGGTGCATACAATTTTTTTCAATGAATCCATAAATCCCAAAAAGAAAGGGGGGGGGGGTTCTCCCCCAGGAAAATTTTGATTCTTAGAAGGCGGGAAATGGGTTTTCCCGACTTCTGAGGTGTCTTTTAATTACTTTTAAGTTCTTTAAAATTCAAGGTTTCCCCCTCTTGAAAACGGTCAGGTAAATTTATCCCATTGTTATTACAGTAGATAGGCCTTATGTGTGTATACATACATAAAAAAATACGATTTTTTTCCATGAATCCATAAATCCCAAAAAGAAAGGGGTGTCCGGGGGTTCTCCCCCGGAAAATTGTTGATTCTTGGAAGGCGGGAAATGTGTTTTCCCGACTTCTGAGGTGTCTTAATTACTTTAAGTTCTTTAAAATTCAAGGTTTTCCCCTCTTGAAAACGGTCAGGTAAATTTATCCTATTGTTATTACAGTACATAGGCCTTATGTGTGTATACATACATAAAAAAAAATTGAGTAGTTGCATACGATTTTTTTTTTCCATGAATCCATAAATCCCAAAAAGGGAAGGGGGTCCGGAAATGAGCTTTTCCGACTTCTGAGGTGTCTTTTAACTACTTTAAGTTCTTCAAAAGTCAAGGTTTTCCCCTCTTGAAAATTATTATAATGAATCAATGAACCCAAAGAGAAAATGGAGGTTCGGGTTCTTCCCGGGAAAATGTTAATTTCTAAATGGTGGGAAATGAGCTTTCCCGACTTCTGAAGTACCGTATCTTATAGCGATTTTAATTTAAGTTCTTCAAAACGGTCAGGTAATTTTTTCCCAATCCCAAAAAGAAAGGGGGTCGGGGGTTCCCCCCGGGAAAATTTTTATTCCTAGAAGCGGGAAATGAGCTTTCCCGACTTAATTACTTTTAATTTCTCCAAAAATCAAGGTTTCCCCCTCTTGAAAATGATTCAATAGAACCAATGAACCCCAAAGAAAAAAGGGGTCCGAGTTCCCCCGGGAAAAATTTCGATTTCTAGAATTCGGGAAATGACCTTCACTGACTTCTGAAATGTCTTTTAAATGACTTTATAAGTTCTTCAAAATTCAAGGTTTTCCCCTCTTGAAAATGGTCAGGTAAATTTTTCTCATTTTTTATTTTATGTGTGTATACATAGGCCTACATAAATAAATGAGTAGTTGCATGCGTATTCTTTTTTTCCATGAATCGATAAATCCCAAAAAGAAAGGTTGATCCGGGGTTTCTCTCCCGGGAAAATTTTAATTCGTAGAAAGCGGGAATGAGCTTTCCCGACATTTGAAGTGTGTTTTAATGACTTTTATGTTCTTCACAATTCTAATTTTCTGATTGTGACATAAAAAAAAAAAAATGTAAAAAATCAGCTCACGGGTCCTGAAAAGGTAGGTCTAGAATTTTTTTCCGGTCACACAAAAATCTCCAGACATTATTTTTTGCAAAAAAAGTTGGGGGGCCCGGCCCTCCGGCCCCCCGGTTCCGCCGGCCATGTGGATAACACATCAAGTATTTTAAAACCTATTTTCATGGTCCTGTTAAACGTTACAATTACTGAAACTTAAACTATTAAAAATTAACTAAACCTCAAGAAAACAACAATAACAATATAATAATAATAATAATAATAAAATAATAATAATAATGCTAATAATAATAAGATAAACCGTACTCTTATCTCGAGTGTCTATAAGTAACCTGTTTCTTGTTTAATATAAATTACTGCCAGTTCACTCCAAGAGGAATTGATACGTCAGCTAAGATTGTTAAAAACAAATAAATAACAAATAAGTAAACGGTGCGCAAGATTCTTAAATAGAGTGCAGTATGTATTATATGATTCCAGTGTCTCGTTATACATAAAACAGAAGACTTATAATAAGTAATGCCTAAGTAATATCTATTTCACAATATCTAAATAAAATACAATATAGTGGAAATGTAAAATGGTAACATTAAGGCACTGTATTACGATGACATTGATACAGGGACCGTATAGAGTTATATTAGCAAGATAATATTGAATCACTTAAGTTCACTTAAGACAATATTATACTTGTGTTAAAATAACATAACCGCTATTATATTCCTATACAGTGCAATATTATTCTACTAAAAGTAGTTCTGTCGATACTGTACCAATCGGACTGAGCTTAAACATTGAATTAAACACGATATTATTGTACAGTGCATCTAATTATCTACTCCTAATACTCTTCCGTAACCCGGAGCGAAACGGCAAAAACGTCACAGAATCATGTGTAGGCCTTTAATAATGTAATGTAATGTAGGCCTACGCCGCATCATGTGGTTGAAGCCGTGCGACACTCACGTTTGTGGTCGTCCAGAACAGCATAACTAATACAACACACCTACCACAGAGTAATACAACGACACTATATAATTCACCATCTTTATAATTAAACCGTGATTCTTATTTTAATTAGTAATCTGCTAGGCCATTAAACGACGTGATGAATACATGTCCTAATCTATAGGAATATCAAACTGGGTAGTACAGTATAGCTAATGACTGTTGTTTTACTTTCACAAATTGACTTGGTACTAATCCTAAACATAGAATAAAATAAGCTAAGAATAATCAATCAATCAATCAATCAATCAACATGAATTTAAATAGGGCGCCGATATCACGACAGAATACAATGTGCAGTGGCTCAGCGATAATGATGGTTATATTACTCTCTTTTGTTTCTTGTTTTGTGCTTTGCGTACCTTTTATGTTTTTTGTTTTTTTGTTTTTTTTTGTTTTTACTGTACTACTGTCTCCGTTTTGATATTTTTTTAACTTTTAAGGCAATTTTTAAATTTTGTTTATGCATGTGCAGTCCAACTGTTTCTAGTTGCGAATAAAGTGTATTGAATTGTATTGTATTGTATTGTAGCTATGCTACACGATGTATTATTATGTCCTTTACTCGAACACTGTATTTACCTTTCTTTGATGATTTATATATAATTTAATAGTGTTAACGACAATCTTGATTCAAATTATTTGTTGGATTTGAATTGTTGGATGCAGGATCAAAAAGAAGGATACATGTTAGCACCTTTGAAAAAGTCAGAAACGCTGACTAGATGACATAGATCATAAAAAGCTTGGTAAAAAGTGAGGAGAAGTGAAAACGTACCATGGCGCCAGGTGGCAACAGACTGGACGACAACGGTTCTACGGTGGCGAAGGTCTGGGCTGGACTGAACGCATTTCTATCGCCACCTGTTTCGGTGACTTTTTCTTAAAGTCACACTTATAAGCGATTGTATAAAGATATGGGTTAAGAGAGGAGTTAATAGGCAAAATAAAGGTCGCTGACCATGCGTATATGTCGGCTGGGAGCTTCCAGGCACCAACCTCGGATCCAATTCCCATCAAGATAATTGGAAACCAGCAACAGAAATCGGTTAGGACGATCATTGCCATCTTGGTTGCCATCTTAACCTCCTCTGCGCGCCTCTGACTTCTATTAACCTTCGATGCTGTTCTCTTTACGGAGATGTAAATTGAGATATAACTCACGGCGATGACGATGAATCCAAAGAGGTTGAAGGCGATAAAAATTGCTATGGCGTATTCCCAGCCTGGTAATCGGTCTCTTGCTAGCGGTAGAGCCAGGCACACACTTTGCCGTCCATAGTAGTTACTTCCGAAATACGGTATGTTGATGAAGCTTAGATGGTTGAACATCGGGAGGAAACTGATAAAAATTATGACCAGCCAGGCTACACCGATAATCTTAATGCATCTTTTACGATTGAGTCGAATGTTGCTGAAAGGATTAGCTATTGTAACTGCACGGTCAAAACTCATAAGCATCAACATAAATACAGAGCATTCGCTGGATAATGTGGAGATAGACCCGGCGAAACTGCAAAGGAAACTGGTTTTCCAGGCCTTTGCAAACATTGCGTACACACCCCTGTAGCGAAGATCAACTCCTGCTATGATTATCATGTAAACCGCCATCAACAAATCTGATACTGCAAGATTAGTTATGAGTATGGATTGGACATTAAAGTCATTTTCCAGCAATCGCAGTATAATAACAGCTAAGTTGCCGATAAGGGCAGTAATTCCAAGAATCATCATCAGGATCCGCAACGCTTCCCTCTTCAAGAGATCTTTACAAGAGGAAAACTGATCAGTAGCCGGACGGCAGTCGGGGACACGTTTCATAATGCAACAGATACTAAACTCATCCGAATATCTGTGAAATACAAGACCGAATAAAGCCAATATATCAAAATGGGTATTTATTATGATACTATTGCACAAATTATATATCGTCATCATTATTTTTGTTGTTGATGGTAGTATTATTAGTAGTATACCTGATTGTGTTAACATTGTAGGAGGCGATAACAGTAGTACCAAGTAAGTGCAAATATATTAAAAACTTACAAAGTTGTAAGGGAAATAAGTCCATTAAACGTATCAGGATCGTAGGTCCTTAACTCGTTGACTTGCAAGTATCTATCGAGAATTAAATCAATTACAAACTTTTAAAATAAGTGTTGGAAATCGTCATTATTTTGTAAATAATTAATGCTTATTATGGTGATTTATATTGTTTGTAACCAATAATTGAGCTGTGATCGGTATGTAACAGACATAAAAGCATAATCCTTATACAACATACATATTTAATACATCCTACATGTATTTATAAATACATATAAATTAATTTTAATTTATAATATTTTATGTGAAATAAGTAACGTGTGAAAATGATAAGTGGTGTAAAAGTAATTGTTTGTAAAGTAATAGATTCTTGATATGGAATCGATTGTTATAAAACCAGTAATCGGTATGATTTTCATACTCAGTAATTAATACTCGTCATGTGATCAATCACAATGTATATTCAATTATTTATTTTGTAATCTATATAATTTGTTTGTGATCGATAACTCATTTGATGTATTGTTGATAATACGTGAGTTTAGGCAGTGGTTTGTAATTGATTTATAATATGTAAGGCCTACAAAGAAATTCTACATTTGGTTAGTCAGACACGACATCGTAATGTTCAAAAAACGATTATTAAAGAAGCTAGAAGTGATTGCATTCCTTAGTTAAATGTGTAGGTCTATTTACACATATTCTGCTAAATGGTCTTCGTTTGTGATCGCAAATTATTGATAGCTTGTCAGTTGTCACTTACAACTCTTGCAGACTTGTCAAACCACTGAAGACACCCCTTTTCAAACTTGTTATTTTGTTATCATTCAAATACCTTGAAAACGAAAAAGAACAAACAATATAATTAGTAAGCGAAAATAAACTATTTAGAACACGTTCCATAATGCAGCAGATACTAAACTCATCCGAATATCTGTGAAGTACAAGACCGAATAAAACAAATGTATCGAAAACGGTATTTGTTATTACTATTGAGAAAATTATATATCGTCATCATTATTTCTGTTGTTGATGATAGTATTTATTAGTAGTAGGCTTATACCTGATTGTGTTAACATTGCAGTAGGTGATAACGGTAGTACCAAGTAAGTGTAAATATACAAAAAACAAAGATTGAAGGGAATTAAGTCCGTTAAAAGTATCAAGATCGTAGGTCCTTATCTCGTTACTTTGCAAGTCCCTATAAAGAATTTAATCAGTTACCGTACAAACTATTAAAATAACAGTGTTAAACAGAAATCGTCATTGTTTTATACACAATCTGGGCATTGGTAATTGTTTGTAACCGATAATTAACCTAAAAGATAATCCTAATAATTATACATATGCAACACATTCATGTATTTACTGATACAGGCCAAGCTAGGGCCTCAACATTCATTTTAATCAATATTATCTTTATGTGAAATGATATGTGAAATTATTTATTTGTAGAGAAATATATTATTGGTATGTAATCGATTGTCATGAAACCATTGATTTTCATACTCGGTAATTATTACTCTTCATTAATCAAGATGTATAATCAATTTGCTGGTTTTGTACGGTAATCGATATTATGTGTGTGATCGATAACGTCATGTGGTGTATTTTCGATAATACGTGAATTTAGAGAGTGGTTTGTCTTTAACTCGTTCAATCATGAATTAAATCAATTACAAACTATTAAAATACGGTATTGAAAATAAACAGAAACCTCCGTTATTGTGTAAAAAAAACCGGTTAACTCCGGCCCGCCAAAAAAATTGATCCAGCCCGCTACATTGCTCAAAAATAAATTATTTCCTGATCGATTTCCAGTATTGTTGCAAAAGAATCCTAAAGAAGTGGAGACGACTTCACGTGAGTAAAAATGCGTTACTTAATCTTTTAAATTTCGGCATACAGGAAAACGTTAGAATTAATAGGAATAATGACCCTAGCCTTGAATAGGAATGTCACCTAGTCTGAGTAGTTAACTATAGGCCTATCTAGTGGTGTTAGAGTATTAATAATTGACTTGGGGAAAGGGCGAGTGTTGGGAAATAAATAATTAGGCCTATATTGAGAGACAAGCTCGTGGTACATGAACCAATTGGCAAATTCTGGACCTTGTTGGGAATAAGTCTACATAATTTTGGGAACACTCATGCTTTGAATACTATTTCAAAGCTTAAGAGGGCCATTTCCGGGCATCTGAAATGTTTATTTTAAAATCTTGCTTACTTTAGCCCCAGACCTGGTGGGGCTGTGGTAGTGGTCCACCTTTGGTGCTCGGGATATTTTTAATGGTAGAGTTGCCACCGCATATCTCCCTCATTTTTAAAAAAGCAAGGCCTATCGCGGTTGATGTTAATTGGATTGGATTTATTCGGTGTAAACACCAAGGATAGCCCACGAAAGTCTTGAAGAAGACTTATTTCCAGTGGGGTAAGTTACATCAATCTTAGGACAATCACAGGCCATAATAGGCATATTATATAGACTTGAGGCCTAAAACGGAATGGGTGGGCTGCAATTAAAAAAAACAAAAATGTCGACCCGCCACTGGTCAATAGATAAATAAGGCAATAATTATAAAACGGTAGCACTTTATAGACTAGTTGAAATATTAATTGTCACAAGCTTTCGTGTACACAGTACACTTCTTCAGGTGAATGATAAGAGGAGCAACATGCAATCAAATATAAAAGGTGTAAAACAAAATTCAAGTAATAATAACAATGGAGGTTTTAACATAACAATGAACAAGCAGAAGGGTGGAACAAAACAATGAGTGAATCATTCCCTGTAGTGGGCAGAAAGCCATAGTCTTTGTTTAAACCCAAGTTTACGTAGTCAAGTCGCTTAATTATTTTCTGTTCACAAATTTCCCTATCTAGATTGTTCTTAAAATTACCCTTCTTAACTACAGCAACTCTAAGATTATTGATAGTGTGACCTGTGGAAGTGAAATGTTCAGCTACAGGTTTCTTAATTAACTTGGAGGAAAAAATGGAGTCATGTCAATACTGTGATATTGATACTGCGTGTCTAATAATAATATAATTTAAATCGATGAGCGGCAGCATTTTTATAGGCTACGCCACGTGATCATCGGCGATGCTGCGGCGCGCTGTGCATAAGGTAGACTATCGCTGGGCAACACGCTAAGCATTCGTTCGTGTAAGTTTTCTATAAGTAATAAAACTGTTCTATATAAGTTACTAATACATTATTTATATACGTCCAATACGTTATGAATAGGCTTTGAATGCGCCCAAAGTTGAAAAAGGCATCGAAAGTTGAGCGTATGCCAGCGTTTTAGAGAAATTTTGATACGTTTGGCGTCCGTACGTATGTCAAGATGTGACAGGGTTATTGCTCAAATTTCAAAATTCAATTGTCAACTTCAATTTAGCCAGAAAACCCCCGGAAAGGAGAGGATAAAGCAGTAATCCTAAAATTACTTTAAAACAATAGAACAATTTCATTAAAAAGGATAAGTTATTAGGTAGGTAAAGGTTCCTCAATAAGTTGCTCTAAATGTGTCAATATTTAAAGTTTAGTGATTTTTTTCTTTTTTTGAGACTGTTGTATTTGTTGTAATACAATAGAAAAAAAATATGAGTGTCCCTTAATAGGGGTTATTTGACCCTTTGGCACACTTAGAGGGTGTTCCCGTCCACGTAAGGGGTGTCCCCTTAATATGGATTGGCCCCAGTGTTAAAAGATATATCGCCTCTCGTTTCACGGGAAGTGTCCCCTTAATAGAGGTGTTCCCTGAATAGGGGTGTCTCAAAGGAGGGGTTCGACTGTAATCTTAATGATGTAAAATTTTAATTTTGTAAATATAATATTAGTAAAATGTCTAATTATAATGCATAAAAAAGAAATTAGTTTATTTCTGTCACATATAATCATGAAGTATTTTATAATGAATAAGTCATATTGTTTTGCAATTATTATTAAAACATGCATATTAAGATGTACATTAATATAATGTAATATTGTAAAACTAATTTCATTATCTGTGCAATAATTATATTAATGAGAATTACTAAGACTTCATATTTGTACATAATCAATTTTTACTTCTGTATTAATAGTGTTTATGAATATTGTGCCTTTTCTTTTGTTGTTTAAACTTGTTAATATATTGTTTGCCAGTTCAAAGTACATTTCTTTTTTATATGAATGACAATAAAGAATTATTGAGATGGTTGAACTCATTTGGTGTATTGTCGATAGTACGTAAGCTTAAGCAGTGGCTTGTAAACGTTTTATAATATGTACGCCTGAAAAATAATTTTTATTTTTACATTCGGGTATAGGCAGACACCACATCTTAATCTTTAAGAACAGATTATTAGGGAAACTAAAAGGGATTTACATGTATCCCTTAGTAAACTGTGTATGTATACATATTTTGTTTGGTGTTCTTCGTTTTTGATTGCAGATTATTGATACAGTAACTTGTGAATTGTCACCTACAACCTTCGAAGATTTGTCAAACCACTAAAGACACCTTATTTTCAGATCAGTTATTTTGTTATTTTGCAAATACCTTGAAAACAAAAATGTATAGACAATACAATTATTAATTGTTGTGGTTGCCATGTGGGCCGCCACTACGCGACCTATTTTTTTTTTAACTGTGTACAGAAAATAACGAAACGGAACCATTAAATGTCTATCATACTTCACCCATTATGCCAATAACGAGATGTTTAGAGATGTGCCTATGTTTGTAATATAAAATTTATTGACAGTTACACCTATAAGACAGTGATTTG